CCAGATGACAGAAGCAGCACTTTATGTAAGCATCGTGCTGTGGTTCTGGATCCGAGAGCTGCAGACTGAACTACTCAAGCAGCCTGACAAATTAAACCAACACAGCGATCCAATCCACAGCTGCATCCCTCGGACAAATCTCAGTTCCCTCTGCGCTTGGGGCTCTGCACACATCGACATGTGTGACCTTCTCCACAGCGAGTTGTGCCAAAAACCAAAGGGCAAAACCTTGATTATTATAATGATATAAACTGGACTCAGTACTCTACACTAGCGGCTTTTGCTGATGTCTTGTCTTACTGAGAATGGACAGATTTGCCTCACATGAACTACATTAGTAAAGACTTTTCCAAAACAGCGTTACTGTTTACAAACTGCAGATTCAGGGCGCTGCTCCAGGAAACATCTTCAACAAACTGAGTTTAAAAATAAACCGAGCTGAGTGACTAAGATAATCTCTGTAATAGTTTTCGGTTCCTGAGCAGCTGAGCAGAGTTAGAGTGAACAAACACAGTTAATTGAACCGAGCATGTGCACGAGTGGACGAAGGCAGTGATGAATCACCATGGCAACGGGTAAATAAAGAGCAGAGCCTCCGTTTTAATCAAGCAGATCAAACTATATGAACATGTCTCAGCGCTGAGGATTGTATTCATTTAAAATTTAGTTTCAAACATTATTTAGTAAACTTTAATGTACTGATGATCTTTAACAATCTCAAGTTCTTACAGAAGATTTCATTATCTTTGTCATTACTGGATGAAATGTTGGATGTTTTCCAGTATAACCACTTAATATTTAATAATATTTAACCATGTAATAGCAAACTTCATTGATAGCTGATTGGTAGGGCTGTAAGACAGCAGAACTGGGAGCCTGCGAGAGTTCAAAATGACTATTTCTCATTTAACTGGGGGAAAAAAGGGCAGAATGAACAAATAAATAATAAGAAGTGTCCGGGCTTTTAAAGAGCCATCGACACGTTGATCGGCTAGATTTGAGACATTTCAGCTCAGTTTTGGACGAAGGCTGAGCCGTTTTAAATAAGCCACTATGAATGGATCCTGACGGGATAAGACTTGGAAATGCCCGGAGCCAGACTGGATCCAGGTATGATCCAGTCTCAGTTTGTAATCTTGACCCATTTTGGAACAATCATGCATGTGGACTCCAAACTGGACAGTTAGCGGATCCAGTTCTGATTTAGAGTTTCAGTGGAAACTATGTTGAGTTTTCAGAAACTGTACAAGGACTAAATCTCAATCTGAACACATTTCAACATGAAATGTAATCAAATTACAATCAGACCTCCTGCATCGTGTATTTAAAAAGTGATTTTAAAATGTATTAGGTTCTGTTTTAAAGTGATTTCCTCCTCAACTTTTCTCAAACATTATATACTATTCATCATCTCCAGGATCCCAATAGTCATTTTTCTATCTGTGTGACATCAGTGTTTGATTTTATGATTCGCCTACAACTTTACAGAGAAACGTTATTACGGGCAGTGATTCCAGTGCAGGAATTAGCTGTTAGCTGCATCACAGTCACACAATTAGAAACTTACAAAGTTTATTCTAAGCTGATCTCTGTCCTTATATTGAGTACCGATAAACTATAAAAGCAGTCACACAAAAAAGACAAGGAAAAAGTGAACTAACAGCTAACAGGGGTTTTAAAACTTCTACAAATGAATTCGCTCTGCTGTGCTGTTTGATAGCAATTTTATGAATGACGAAATAAAACAGCTGGTTCAGGTGCAGTAGAAGCAGAGGTCAGAGGGGAGAAAACCTGAGTCTTTCCCCAGTAATTGACTCTCTCTGGAGGAGAAAACCCAGAGTTTCCAGGGTGTTAGCTACTGAAACAAACAGCACTGCACCTCTAATCAATATAATCATCACTGCAGGTGCACTTAACAAGTGCATGTACTTGTTAAGGTAATGATATTGCTCATAAGCACCATAATTAGTGACCATATAAAGTATTAAAACAGTATCTGTCACAACATCTGGCTGGCTCTGTTTTGGCTGGGGTCTGTAGCCCAGTAAGTCATTCAGGCAGTTTGTTTGCTGTGTGTAAAGCGGCTCAGCCGTCTCTCCTCCATTCAAAATTCCCTACACACACGTTATAAACTAAGATACATTAAGCTCCAGTTTAAAATCAAATCAACAAAGATACCCTCCTGTTCCTCCTCCTTCTGATGATGAGATTAGTGTAGCTGCTCCCCACACACATCCATGATTTCAAAGAGGAAAGAGCTGCCAACATTAGCTTGTGTGGTTGTGTGTGTGTGTGTGTGTTACAAGTACAGGTTTATGCAAAGATGCTCACATGATTACCTTAATGAGAAACCAGGCTAAAAATTGCCTCCACTTGTGATCTTAGAGCGATCACGCTGACCACTGTGCACCCATGAGAACACTGTTTAGCCTCCACCCGTTTAAGTGCCAACGTGTTTATGTCATTTCTTCCTTTACCTTTTTGATGACAGGAACCTTGTTGTAGTAACGAATGCAGTCTTTACCCAGGAAGTCAAATTCCACCACACATTCGTTGCCATCCAGCTGCTCATGCAGAGTGATGTGCTCAACACGAAGCGAGCAGCAACCCACCGTGTCCGCCGTCTCTCCCTCCTCTTTCTCATTGCCAGCTCTCAGGGCCAGCTTTTTGGGTCAGAGGATACAGAGATTACCACAGATGCAGAAGTACACGCCGAGCTTTTCCATCACAAGGTACACAGCACGCATGCGAGTCAGACAACCGTTAAAATATATACACGTACTAATAAAAAGACCTTCGTGACAAACGAAATAAGACAAAAATGGCAACTGAAACAGTTTCTGGCATGAGCCAAAAGCAATCACGTCCTCAATCCATCATTTCACTTCATACAGACTGAGATAATTAGCTTGAAGTCTCAGGAAGAAAATGGCTACATGTAAACCATTTACTTTGCAAAAGATTTTCATCCAACTATGTTGGAAAACAGAAAAGGCAATCAAGACATACTGAATTGATTTCCAATATCTTCACTTTGCTCCAGCCTATTTACACGGACAATGCAGTCGTCAGTTTTTCTCGTTATTCATGCAAACATCACAAGCAAAGCTACGACAGAGGCCAAGTGGACAGAAATCAGAGAAGCTCACGTGTGAAAGTTTCTTTCTAGTTCTGCTGTGTGAACATGTAACAATTTGTAATATCAGTTGTGCAACCCAAACCTTGTCTATGAAATACAGCGCCACAGCTCTCTGACGTGTAACCATCTGTTTGGACTTTAGATCCTGGAGGTACTGGTAACGGATGTCATCCACGCGTGATTTCAGTTTCCGAGCAACCTCATATTTCTCCCAATCCTTCTCGCCCTGCAAGAAAGAAAGGCAAGATAAGCAGGAAGAGAGAAAAGACTAAACATGAAACGGAAACACGAAGCAAAAGTGACAGGTGATGACAATTATAAAATAAAATGATGAAAAAGTGGTTTTCCTTTAAAAGCCCTGAAACAATCACTAACACAGGATCTTCCACTATAAGACAACATTCTGTGTCTGCTGTTTGCTTCTGGTTATTTATTGCTATCTACATACAATTAAACCCTCCATCAGTCAACGTGCCGATACAGTCACGGAGAACTGTGGAATAACTTAACCTTTATGCATGAAAGATGGAAAGGAAGACGAGTGAGCAAACAGAGCACAGAACAACAACATGTTGCAAAGGTTTACTCATATTGGATTATCAAATTCAATTCAATGTTATTTACACAGCGCCAAATCACAACAACAGTCGCCTCAAGGTGCTTTATATTGTACAGTAGACCCTACAATAATACAGAGAAAACTCAACAATCATATGACCCCCTATGAGCAGCACTTTGGCGTGTGGAAAAGTAATTACCAATTTTGTTTAAGAATATACATTTTATGCATTATAGCTCAACATAATGTGTAAAAGTGTTCAGGTTTGTGATTTGTTTGTAAATCTGTGCTGTGTTTATGCTAACGTTTCATTTAAATCAGCTCTGAATAATATCAGAAGCAGGACAACAACCATTTGTCAGTTGGCAGATCTGGAGCTGAACTGACAAAATGCAAACCATTCAAATTATTTATTTTATTATAACTTGGTTATAATGTTATTTGCATTCCCCTGCACTCTTTCTGTAAGGTTTTGATTCTTGATTTACCTTCTACACAACTCTGCAGCACAACAGTTCGTCTAATTTTACAGCCAGCCTCTAGCCTGGAGGAGGATGTTGCACGAGCAGCTAATTCCACTTCTTTTTCATTTTTCCCCCAAACTTGCAGTCTGCAGAATCAAACTAGTTCAAATGAGAAAACCTATCAGTTCTACTCACTTTGAAGCCACAACTTATTTCACATGTAGTTCCACCCATGACTTGTAAACAGGTTCTTAGGAGTTTCACTTTAAATATTCTATATCAAACGTTTGGTGCACATGCAGTTTTTGGTGATGATGAAAATGGTGTTTTGAAGTTCTGCTTTTTTGCTTTTCCAGTCGGTTTGGTTTTGCTTTTTACGTTCAAAAGGGAAAGAAAAAGTAAATCCTTTGGAAACGGGACGCTTCTGTTACATTTCATATTTTTAATGTGGGATTAAAGCATTCACAATGTTGGTTGAAGGAGTCCACAGAATGAATAGAGAGATGTTTGGTGACAGATCAAACAAAGCTTGAATGTTCTGAATGATGAATTCCAACATTTATCAAGTTATCTTTGAAGGACAGTGGCTAAGTGATTGCTCACCACATGAACAACAGTAGAAGATGAGCGAAACACACAGCAAAATATCTTTATACTTATTTATTCTTTTCTATTTAAAATGGCATAATGCGAGCTAGGAAAATATCAGAACTGAAGCACTTTGACTAATGCATCTCAAAAATGTATTTATATCATGTCCATTACATGTAAAGTGAAATGATTCAAGCCTTTTGTCATTTTAATCTGACTGACAGCTTGTGAAAAAAATTTCAAGTTTGAGAAAATGAAAATCAAATATTATGTTGATCCTGCTTATCTCAGTATAGTTTGATGCAGTGACACACCAGCGGTGTTACTGCTGTACTTGATTGACCAGATAACTCAGACGACCTGAGGCCGATAGAGAATCTATCATTTAGTCAGAAAAGAAAATGAGAAACAGAATCAAAGCAGCCAATAACAGTGAAGCAGCAAGCCGATCGGCTCCATGCAGCACACAGTGAAGTCATTTATGGTAAAGAATCATCAACCAGTGACTGAACACATGCTTCAGAAGTTGGATGTTTCTGTATTTTAAATGTATGAATTGATCTTAGTTAATATTCTAATAATCTGAGATACTAGTTTTTTCCAAAACCAGTTTGAGAACTGTGCTGCCAAAGTAGTCTGAACTTTGTTGAACCCAAAGTCTGCAGCATCTTGACAGCATGTTTCTTTGTACCCACTTGTATGTGCATACCCCCCATTATGCAACAGATAGCTCACCTTCAGTTTTGAGTTGGCATTAAGCATGATGTACTTATTGGAGCCCTGGATGTTTTCAGTCCAGCTGACGAGCCATGTCACGGTGTTATCGTGTCGAACTTCCTTCCAGTGGTGCCCAGCGGGTGGTGCGGGGATACGAGATTCTCTGCCAGAGCAAGAACAAGTGCAATACAGTATGTAAATGACCAGCACTGATGCA